TAACTGCCAACTTTTAACTTTACAGTTATTTACAACTATTTCCAACAACTAGAATAGAAATTGTGTAAAATCCTGTTTTTTTTAAATAAGGGCTGAATCCATCAACTATTAATGTCGACACGTGACAGGAAAGAACAACTCAGATTTCCCATTTCGTGATTGACTATTTTGTATTCTTGTTTAATCAATGAACGGGTTAAACAGAGTTCAGGCCTATTTAAAGTCGTATCTATGAGCCAATCAACCTAAGTGCCATGGCGCTTATGAGGCAACGCCACGATCACACAATTTGCTACTTAGCTTTTGACTGTCTAAAATACCCACTAACAATGCACCTCGGGGGTGGTGGTGGTGGGTGAGGTTGACCCGGCGCTCAGTGTGAGAGAGCTAAGTGGGAGATCAATACGACAGAGTATTTTTGTCACACGTTAAGACAGGTTGTAGCGTGCGGGTCAGATCACGACTAGTTATAGCGTGGGGTCAAATCAAAATCAGTGGAGGTATTTGGACTTAAAAGTCTAACTACGAGTTAACAAACGAATAGAGGCGCCTGTAAAATTATTATTTTTGCTTTCTAGCGCAATGGCCTTTGTGGTCCTGGTTGACAAAATATTTCGTACAATTTTTCAATGCTTTTTTAGACACTCAGTAAAGACAACTCAGCTTCAATAAAAATCTTGTCTTCAAAGGTCCTTGTTTACATTGGGGTTAGTTATGGCACGATTAGCAATTAGGAATTTGGTTCATAAAAAGAGAAAGTTTTGACTAAGAGACAATGACGCGACTAGTAAAAGCTAGGCTTGGATTTGGGGAAGAAGAGCGAAATGTAAACACAATACTTTTGACAGCTTTAGATAAATTATAGCTTTTATATAGCGCTACTTTCATACTTATAGCATGCTCAGAGCGCTATGGTCCAATGTCATTTATGGACCAGTGGGGGCAGGGGGTATCTGGGAGAAGGTTTTTCGTGCTGCTATAGGCGCTCAGTAAACAAACACAACTCTGCTCGATTCAGGTGTCGAACCTCGAGCCTCCATCATAGGTAGCCAAGCTAAACCAAGTTCAAGCGTACTTGGCCTCTCGACCACTCTTCCCACTGGGTAGAAAAACAAACCAGTAGCACTCTCTGGACACTTGGAGAAGTAGACCAGAGGCGCCTAAAAGAGATGGAAGTCCTTGTCTCAAGCAACACCATTCTGCCACATCTCTTAGAACTAAACACAAATATCTAGATACAGGAGATATAAAGAGATTGATTATCAGTTTCTCTTTCTATCTGTTATAAATTGACTGCATTTATTATACTGAAAGTGTTTTTAAAAAAAGGATTAAAAGTATATGCATGCTCAATTAAGGATAATTAAATTTGTATTGAAAGGAAATATTTTTGCGACATTACTTTGTTAGTGTTTTCTCATTTCATCATCGTATACCTACTTTTGCACCCATCCCGAAAAGTAGGCCTATATTGAATTTGTTTTTCGTCTAATTCTTGAACTTTCACTTTTGAAAGACTTGATTGTAGGAAGCTCTATAACAACACAGCTCTGGAGCGTGTCCCTAAATGTTGGCTTTCAGCATGTCGATGTTCCGTACATTAAGGAATGTGTTAAAATTCTTCCGTTTCTCCGGAACCGGAAAGAATTAAACGAGATCCCACGTGATTCGTGTTCTAAAAGCTAGAGGCGGATATAGCAATTACTTAATCTTGTCGCTATGGTAACGAAATCAAACGCAAGCGTTTGCAAAGAAGTGCATGTTCCTGGAGGATAGCCGGGACGATAATAATCTACATCACTGAAAAAAAATTGGATTAGATAGTAGATGAGCACAAAGAAATTAGTTCTAACCCATGTAGTTCCAGGGGACGCGGTGGCTGAGTGAATTTTGGGATTTTTAGGGCGTCCCTGAGTCCACCCAACTTTAAAGGTACCTGACTTTAGTTGGTGAAAGTAAAGGCGGTTGGTCGTTGTGCTGGCCACATGACACCCTGCTCGTTAACCGTTGGCCATAGATACAGATGACCTTAACATCATCTGCACCATAGATCGCAAGGTCTGAAAGGGGAACTTTACTCTTTTTTTGACTTGTAGTTACACCGTACAAACCAACACATGTAGCTAAGCGGCACAAAAGACTTCGATACCTAACAGAAGGGCTAGAGTTCAAATAACGACATTGACCAGCTGGAAGAGGCTCGATCTGGGATGTGTTTGTGAAGCGCCACAAGGCAGCATGGAAACTTTATGTTGTCTCCTACCTCCATTCACATGTTCGCATGAAGCATGCTATCAGAGAATGGAAGACATGCTATAGGGTAGCGATACACTAACTATAATATCGACAAAAAGTATAAAAAGCCAATTCGTTTCTGGTAAAAAATGCACATTAAAAACAAAAACAAAAAAATAAGATTAAATTTTAAGCAATTAAAAACATTTTGGGTGGAAAGAAACAAAACTACGAAGTGTTAAAGCAATGTTTTGATAATATCGTCGATTTGGCTGCAGAATGGGGTAACATTGTTTATTGTGGCCGAAACATCACTTTATTTTAACAATCTCGGAAACATACTTTTTAGCTCGGTAATTATTGTATTTGTTATAAAGAAAAGAAACAGCCCGCTTTTTTTTTCAGGGAGAGAGAGAGAGAAAGAAAGAGACGAGAGAAAAAAGTAGAGAGAGAACAGAGGAAAGGCAGCGAGAGCGGAAGAGAGAGGAAGAGAAGGAGTGTAGAAAAGAAAGAGAGAGGAAGAGAAGGAGTGTAGAAAAGAAAGAGAGAGGAAGAGAAGGAGTGTAGAAAAGAAAGAGAGAGGAAGAGAAGGAGTGTAGAAAAGAAAGAGAGAGGAAGAGAAGGAGTGTAGAAAAGAAAGAGAGAGGAAGAGAAGGAGTGTAGAAAAGAAAGAGAGAGAGGAGAGAGTGAGACGATGAGAGAGATTTAGGGAGAGAGAATAAGTGAGAGAGAGAGAGAGACTGATTGAAAGCCTGAGAGAAAGAGAGACAGATATAAGTCCCTCACATTATTCTCTCTTTTAAGCGAGATGTTTTTATTTGCTCCCCTTCCAAACATTGAAGTATTCATTTCTTGTTTATATACATAGAGCCTACACACACATATACTATCCTTCAAATCTGATCTCTTAAACTAAACAATGTTTAGACAATTTAGTTTCTAGTTTAGGATTCAACTCAAGCCCTTCAGTTCAGCACTCATTCTAGTCACTATCATTTGAGCTCACATATTGTCACTTCGACTTCTTAACACTACTTAATCATGAAAAAAAAACGACTTTTGATCTAACCCCGCCCTCCTTTTTTTTTTCCGAGTAAATTATGCTTAGTTGTCCTGATTCTTGTCCACTATATTCATGTCAGCAGTAATCAGTTCACGCGTCCTCAACTAAGGGCGCCATTGTTGAACCTGACTCCCCCCCCCCTAACAGTAACATTGAGAAATAAGCGGTCTCCTCCCCACGCGCCCTTCTTGTATACTTCTCGGGCGTTCAGTTCATCAATAAATTACGTCTTTGATTCCGAGGTTGTGTTTATAAATCTGTAGAAGTAGCTATAACACATAGCAATATAAATATGTATTAGTTCAGGCATGTACAAAATGATTTATTCCGGTGCGGAGTCGGCTCTTTGTGCGTGATTAGGCCACTGAGATTCTGAAGAGAAACATTTTTTTGTGTGTGGCTATGCTTGAATGTGATTCATCCGCGAGGGACTATTTATATTTGACAAGGGAATAATAAAGGCCTAATATTTGTTTCAACTATGAGCTGGAGGATGCGTGTCTGTGTTTATATATGTAGTGTTGGTACTAGATACCATTACTTTTTACTTGTTAGTCATTCGACATTCTACTGCACCATTTTTTTGGTAGCGTCCTTCTAGTTCTGTCTATCCTCTAGTTACACTCTCCAGTCTCTGCTTTCTTTGCTTCGTTCTTCCCTTTCTACGTCTTTTATTTTTTTTTATTCAAAAAGTAATACACTCTTTAAAAGTTTTAGCCTTAGATATATATATTTCGTTTGGAAAATGCACATTTTATATGCAACATGCGATTCTCTAGTGCTCTTGATTAAACTTTTCAAGTTATAACCCTCATCAATGTTTAAAAGAAATGCAATGTCTAGCTAATTTCGTTGCATGTTACAAGATCCGATTATATCAAACAGTTTTATATACAATGACACCAGCGAGTTTGATATTTGTTTGATTCTCTCTTGTACCGATCACGATTAAAAAACTAGATCTACTTTTTTTAGAACGATGATTTATTAGCTAAAACCCTCGGCTGTGTAAAACTAGGATTTGATGAATTATACAGGGGCTGCGTTGTCTCGAGAAATGCTGCAGTCTTCTTTTAATCTCCTTACTGGGAGATATTCGCATTATTAATAATACTAATAAAATAATCTCATTTATCCATAAGGAAATTTGTCTTGCCCTCTGAAGGGCTCGATTGACGAAATTAATCAGACAATGCTCGTCTTGTATTATTTTCTATACAGTTAGTGCAAACACAAAAGGACATTATGTATTAAAGAACTTTTTTTTCTGTTACCCTATATCACATTCAAAATAAAAGCCTCGCCTGAAAAGTACTAGAAATCTACCAGAGTATTTCTTCGGGATACATTCTTTCATCGAATAGTTTCAAAGGTTTAAAAATTATTCTCACGGTGATTTTGATTTATATGTAAATCAGGATGTAACACCATTTTCATGACTTTTCGACCCTGAAATCACCACACCATCATTGCAGTGTGGTAATATAAGTTTCTATTATGTTGTAATTAAAGTACTTTCACTTTCTTTTCTCACTTTCTTTGTAAGTGCCCAGCACCAATGTTACACAAGAGCAATGGTGTTGTTGTTTTATTGTCCCAAAGAGACTGCATTGTTTATCAGTTCACTAGTTTTAAAAACTATACGATGATATTTTTATATTATAAAGTTATGATTCACTGTCATGAAAATGTTGGTTCATGAATGCTTATGTTACGTTAGGAAATTATTTCTTTTGGTTGTCTAGACTACCCTGTCAAGGGAGAGAACTTTAATTCATACTTTTTTTTAGTAAACATAAACATTTTTCATATAACCAACTCTAATTTGCTTTATTGTAAGATTTCACGTTAAGTTCTTTTAAGCTCAAATTAGACTTGTCTGTTGAGTGTAGAGTAAACCCCAAGCTTAATAAATCAGACTCAAATCTAATCTCTACACATTGATCTGGAGTTTGCGTCCCTCTCTGAAACTCTTGAAACTAAAAATACCTTCCCTACACTACAGAATTCTACATCTCAATTACATTTAAAAACACATTTACGGTGTGATGAGCGATTACGTTGGAACAAATATGGAAAGTCTATTGCCATGTTGGACACGACTATAGTGATACTAGGAAATAATGAGTTTATAATTATTGGCGGATTCATAACGAATTGTGTGTTCTAAAAACTGTCTTGAATAAAGCCAGCGTTTTTATTTCTACTGAAGTCGTCAATGAAAAATTAACAGTTTTGGACTTAGTCTTGAATCACAATCAACCATGCCTACCTACGTTGATATATTCGACTACCTGAGATCCGTAAGTACATGTACAGGTTACAATTTTTATGTGAGCTTTACGTTTTTAATTTAGCACATTACAATTTAACTAAGAGACATCAAATCCGTTGAATTTCCGACATTGAATGGTCCCTATCAATTATATCGCTTTTTTTTTGTTGAAATTGTACCAATCATTATTGTTTAATATCATGTGCAAAAGTAAAATTAAAAAGCTTTTTAAAGTAAACCAAAAATAAGCTACTGATTCAATTGACTTATGCCAAATTTTACAAATTGCTATAACTCAGAATAGAAATACTCCTTAGAGACGTGTTTTGGACAAACACGGGTGATTTGGAGAGATAGATAAAGGAAATGAAATTAAATTTATATCCGTTGTAAAATTCTAAACTATTGAAGCTAAGAGATACACATACAGAGTGACTATATGGTCACCAACACCAAACAAGAAATAGCAAATTGAGATAGGGTAATATATGCATTTGTAAATTATAAGCATTAGTAAGTTAAGTTCCCTTTTCAGACCTTCTGGTCTTGATGATATGCATTACAATACTGTAATGTTAAATATGCTTTACAGTTATAAAAGAATTTGGTGTATTATATGCATTTCAGTATTATAAGCTGGGACTTATAAGGAAGAAGTTCTGATTTCAAGTGTTCAAAACAAGAAAATGTCGCTCACATAATTTTAGACTTCAAAGTTACCTTCTTTTTTTTAACGAATTATTAATCTTGACATCGTGTTTATCCTCTTCTTCTTCCTTCTCTGTTTTTCTCTACTTCTATTCCTCCACCCCTCTCCCTTTCTCTCATTCCCTTCATCTTGTCCAATCAATTTCTCTCTCTCTTCTTTGAACTGGACCGATGTAATTATGTTACCACGCTCTTTAATTTTCTCGTGACCTACATTTCTCTGTTACTTTATATTTGCCCACTTTGGTTTCCCCAACGAAGTGACCCACTTCTTACGTTTCTGCTGACCTACTTCTTAAGTTCCTTTATTGACCTACTTCCCGATTGGTCAAACTAAATTTCCGTAATTGCATGCTAACTGAACTATATCTTTTTACCACCTACTTGATTCTCATTGCAAGCTTTTCAATATGAACATTTTGTTTGATATTCGTCTCTGTTAGATTCATTGGTCATTTATTTAGTCAGAACGAGGTCTTTCGAGCGAAAACATCGCATGATGATTAGCATGGTGATTAGCGAATCAAAATTGTGTACAGCTAGCCACGCCCACAAGATAAACAATAGTTAGTTAAAAAGTAATCCACTTATAAATCACAGTGAAATAATCCACTTTTTTCAAGAACAACAACATATATATATATTTAGATAGATATAAATATAGATATAGATATAGATAGATAGATAGATAGATAGATAGATAGATAGATAGATAGATAGATAGATAGATAGATATAGATAGATAGATAGATAGATATAGATATAGATATAGATAGATAGATAGATAGATAGATAGATAGATATAGATAGATAGATAGATAGATAGATAGATAGATAGATAGATAGATAGATAGATAGATAGATAGATAGATAGATAGATAGATAGAAATTTAGTTAGATAGATATGTAGATAGATAGATAGATAAATAAAGATATAGAAATAGATATATAAAGTGCTTTTTTTTGTAAAAAAAAATAATTAGGTGCTGGTACTCATTAGTTGATTGCCTAACTTTTAACTACTGAAAATTAATAATATACGTTACAATACAAGAAAAGTAATAATGTTTTGTAAAAAGGTGCCAGTATTCCGAATCGGTGCGTACCGTAAAAAAAAGCCCTGGATATCCAACATAGTTACAATTTATAAAAATAAAGGCGACCGCTCTGATTGTAACAACTACAGAGGGATCTCACTGCTTAGCATAGTAGGAAAGGCAGATCGTGTTTATCCAGAGTCGCAGTGTGGCTTTAGGGCAGGTAGATCTACAACAGATATGATTTTCTCTCTGCGGCAGCTACAGGAGAAGAGCAGAGAACAAAAGCAGCCCCTCTTCAATGCATTTATTGATTTGACCAAGGCCTTTGACCTTGTCAGTAGAAGCGGTCTGTTTGCTGTACTAGAGAGAATCGGCTGCCCAAATAATTTAAGAAAACTAGTGTCAGCTTTTCACGAAAATATGCAGGGCACTGTTCAGTTTGAAAGTTCTTCCTCCAGGCCATTCTCCATTAAGAGCGGTGTAAAACAAGGATGCATCTTCTTCTCAGTTGTACTAACCAGTGCTTTTAAATCCCATAGCAGATCCGATGGAAGGCTCTTTAACCTGGCACGTCTTAAAGCCAAAACGAAAAGGCGTCGTATTTTGATAAGAGAGCTGCTGTTTGCCGATGACGCGGCACTCGTATCTCACTCACAAGGAGGTCTACAGAAGCTAGTGAACGCCTTAGCAGCTGATTGTCAAGAGTTTAGCCTTACTATAAGTCTCTCCAAGACCGAAATCCTGGCACAAGGCGTCGCAGAAATTCCTATAATACAAATTGAGAACCACACCCTTTCAGTGGTGCAGGAATCACCTACTTAGGTTCAACAATTGTCAGTAACCTAGACTTAGACATCGAGCTGACAAAAAGGATAGGAAAAGCTACCACAGCATTGACCAAACTCTCCAAGCGCGTCTGGGAAAATGGTAAATTGACTACAGCGACCAAAATCCTAGTCTACAACGCCTGTGTTGTGAGCACTCTCCTTTATGGCAGTGAAAGCTGGACAACATACATGTACCAAGAGCACAGATTGAATAGTTTCCACTTACGCTGCCTGAGACGCCTGATGTCTCCAATCAGGAAGTTTTGAGATTGGCCAATATGAACAGCATGTATGCTCTCCTGACACAAAGAAGATTACGCTGGCTCGGACATGTCACCCGCATGCCAGATGTAGAATCCCGAAAGATATCTTATATGCCAAGCTTGTTGAAGGAGTCAAACCCAAGGGCCGCCCAAGACTAACATATAGAGATGTCTGCAAGCGAGACATGAGAGCCACAGGCATCAGCGAAAATATGTGGGAAAACATAGCCAAAGACCGGAGTGCATGGAGACAGACTGTGCGTGCTGGGACAACCTTTGCTGAGAACAAAAGAATTGAAGCGGCCTTAAGCAAGAGGGAAAAAAAAGAAAGCTGCCCTGTCCGCTAGCCCTAAATCAGAGGCATACACATGTACGAATTGTGGCAAAGTCTGCCGTTCTAGAATTGGCTTGATTAGCCCCACCAGATTCTGCCCCGTCTCAAGATTAAGCCAAAACCAGTGACTCTTTTGGGCGCATCCATTGCCCTTCGAGACAAAAGGAGCCATATATATATATATATTATGTCATAAGTTTTTAGCTTCTCCGACAATCTGCTAATATACTGCTATTCTTGCAACAGAATATTTTGGTTCATGCGCATTTCTATTGTCACGTGTTACATCTAATGACCCTAATATCCAATCATATCATATGCTGAAGATCTTTGTTTACGAAATAGAAAAATGTAATCCTCCGAGTAGAAATCATGAAAATATTGAACACAGATTATTTATCAAGCGATAATTAACACTCGAATTTAAATTCACTAATAAATTTCCAATACTTGACTTGAGATGACATTTAATGCTTGTAGTTATTATAGATTGAACAGACTGATTTTGGAAACCCAGAATAAGCTCGTCTTCACTATATATAGCTTTCAAACCCCAAACTTCTAGATCAAGACTAAAACATATTAACTCATCTATGTAGAGACTCGAAGCTACCTGAAACCAATGTTTACACTTCTCTTGTGACATTTAAGCATATTCCTAGTGATAGTTTTTTTTCTCTACCAAAATTGAGTCAATTTTCAGTTGTTGAATAAAAAGTAATTAATCGTTTTTCAGGGGCCTTAAATGTCAATTTGGGTGCCATTTTTTTTATTTATTTGTTTTTGTTGTTTTGTTATTTCCCAAATAGTCTTCAACTAGAAGGTCCATAAATTTGAGAAGGGCGATTTGTCTCTGGTGGGGGGAAATTATAAAATTATTCACATAGCCGTTAACCATAATTAGCATGTAGTTATGTACAGAGGCCAAGACTGGCAGATTGAAGTCAATAGGCCGAACCACATGCGCAAAGGAGAGCATTGTGGAACATAGTGTTGTCATTTTATTTTTTTGAACCCTGCTTCCGAGGGCCCCTATCCACGCTCCGTATCTAGGGTCCCTAAAAGGCATTGAACAACCTTGATTACTACTTCAATTAATACTATCACTCTCTCGTGGATATAGGCCAGTGCACGTTCACATTCCTGACTTCTGGCAGAATCCATTTTGTTTCTATGTGCTCAGAATGTGTGAGATCCTAATCCTAATTGCAATCCAGATGTCAAAAACACATGACGCAAGAGTCTCCGGAGCCCTAGACTAAACACTGGCCTCGTGCCAAGGTATTCTCTCGTTCTAGTTCAAATCTCCTGTCTCGGGCTGTCTCATTCTAGCCTTGATGTCATTTTTCGACATAATTGGAATTCTTATTTTAATGGCCGTCTTAAAATTTACCAACGCACGCGCCAGGGGGGCGTAATTCTTGCGTTACAAATTAGCAGAAGTATTGGATAACACTTGACTGAATGAAGTAATCGCTGTCACCGTTTGGCGGTAAGTATTTAAGGACATATATTGATTACAATATCAGTCGTTGTATTAGTTTCTAGTGTTAACCGGTAGCGATTGAGTCTCTATAAACGTAACAAATTTACGTAACAATGGTTTCTGTCTTTTATCTGAGGCCAGTGTTTCCTTGTCTATTCACTACATTGATTAGTCCTTTTATTGCCCATTATATTAGCACGTAAAGGGGGGAATGGTTACCCACCTCCTCACCACGCGTCCCCTCTTTCCCCGCCTTTTATAAAAATGTATTGTGTTTAAAATATCGGGTAGAAAGATTTCACACTCAGGTGCCTGCCGGCAGACGACTTGGTGACAGACCATGGAAGAGCGATGGACTATGAAATTGGTTTATTATCTTCGAGAAGCGATTCTATCAGCAGAAGATGATTCGGATGACACGGTTTGTTATGTTTTGATGTTATATGTTGGATGGTGTCGCTGTTAGTTAACGAAGCTATAACATTTTTA